CGCCACACGGGTCTGCAGATCCCGCACAATCTCGGTGAAAAATCCCAGCTGGCTTTTGGGCAGAAATTGACCAGCTGATCCTAAAATTCAGTTGGAGAGACAACAGACCCAAAATAGACAAAATTATGTTGACAAAGCATCAGGGGACTGGCAGCTCCTGATTTCAAACCCACGACAAACGCTGGGGGTGGAGCCGCGAGGCGACCACACAGGACAGACAGACAGACTGACGGAACGGAAAGGAGGGTCTAGAAAGAAACCCTCACGTCCACAGCCAACTGATTTCGACAAGGGCGTCAAGACCATTCGGTGGGAGGAAAATAGTCATTCAACAAACGGACGACCGGACACCCACGTGGGAGGGAATGAGGGTCGGCCCTTCCCTGCTCCGTACACAGAAATCAGCTCAAAGTGGACCGAAGACTAAATGAGCTAAAACCACAAACTCTCAGATGAAAACGAGCTCCTGAATCGCCATCTCTGAGCCACGTAAGATCACGGGGCACAGAACTGGGACAACTCCGGTCCACGGTGGTCTAACCCAGCCGTTCAGCCACCTCACGGTGAGGAAACTGAGGCCCGGACACGGAGAGGCCCCCTGTGTGAGGCCGCTGACCGCCAGCACACCCGCCCACTCCGACCCCAGCAGCCTCAGGAGCCCCCTCGGAGGGCACGCTCTTGGAGACAAGAATGAATGAGTGGAATGAATGAATGAACTTCTTGAGACCCAGCCGCCGCGGCCCCACAGCCCGCCGCGGTCTGGAATGCATGGCCCCGGGGGAAGTCTGGGTGGGTGACCGGCCCCCCGTTCCACGGAGGGGACAGTGGGAGCTGGCACTGCCAGGCCGTGCAGGGGGCCGGGGCGGGGCGCCTGGGCCGGCAGAGGGGGAAACGCAGCCCAGGGGTCAGGCAGAGTTCACGGCGCCCGCGGCTTCTGCTCTGCCACTCGGGCCAACGAGGCGCGGGGCTTCCCGCTCCAGGGGCCTCAGCTGCTCGGGAGCGCAGGTCCGGGCAAGTCGCAGCTGCCTCCTTCTCCAGAAACGCGGCTGCGGGGAGAGGCCGGAGCCCCCCCTGGGGACAGAGGAGACCGGGGACCCCGCAGGCGGTGCTGGGGGTGCAGCCCCATCTCCCTGGGGGCCTGCGGGGCTGAGCGGGGACCAGGACGGACTGGGGGCAGCTGGACAGAAAGGCCAGGGTCCCCCACACCTGCCCCGGCCAGCCCACGCCCAGGGCACCCAGACAAGGTGCCCGTTGTCCCCCCGGACCCCAGAGCCACCATGGGGTGAGGCCCACCAGGCCCAAGAGATCGGAGCTCATCTCAGAAAGAGCCAGAGTGAGGGGCTGAGCCCGGCCCCCAGGCCAGGCCCTCCGGCTGGCCCCACACCCTGCAAAGGGCACGGCCGGCCCACAGCCTAGAAGTGGTGGCCTGGTGATGGGCACAGAGCTGAGCTGTCAGGAAGGGGCTGGGGTCCCACCTGAGGCTGGCCACACCCATCCTTGTTGCCTGAGGGTGAGCACGGTGTGAGGGCCCAGGGTCCCCCGGGGAAGGGGGACGGGGGCTCAGGGCCGTGCTCCATGGCCGAGGGCTTGGGCCCGGCCCACTGGGGAGGGTTGCAGCCCGCAGCGTTCTGTGTGGGGCGGCTCCCTCACCAGCCCAGAGCCTGCAAAGGATCCCCGAGGGGAGAGAAAAGTTTCTGTCTGTCTGTCTGTCCTGCACAGCAGAAGCACAAAGGGCCTCCTGGCTGTGCATTTGCGGGAGGGGCCCCGGGGCCACGGGGCTGCCGGGCCGGGTGGCTGGTGCATGGACCGCTGCCCACGGACGGGCAGGCCGGGGCCAGATAGCGAATGCTCCACATTTTTTGGCGGCTGGAGGGCCCGGTTGGACACAGGCGCCGCTGTGTTCTGCAGAAACCCCAGGCTTTGTGTCCCGGTGCCCGCAGGGCGTGGGGTGGGTTCCAGCACCGAGGGGGACAGGCCGGCTCCCCCACCGTCCCCGCCCCAAGGCCAGGCCGGACTCTGACCCCACCCAGGGGTGAATCCAGGGCTCCTCCCTCAGCGCAGCCACGGTGACCTGAGCTCGAGGACCCTGGGCACCCGCTGGGCCGCCAGCCTCCCTTCAGGGGCCCAGAAAAGGCTCGGACCCCAGCCCTGCCCCCCAGGCCCCAGCCGGTGCAGACAGACAGGGACCTGGGAGACGCTTCCAGCTGGAGGAGGCGAGAGCGAGGGGGCGCAGCCTGCGGCGAGGGGCCGGCCGAGAAGCCCCCAGGCCTCCATCTGCATCCACATGGTTCTGCCCGGTGAGGGCCATGGGCACGGGGACACAGACCGACAGCACGGGTGGGCGCCCTCCGCCCTCCCCGTCTCCGGAGCTGCACACGCAGGTAGACCTGGGTCACTCAGACGTCCTGGGTCCAGCTCAGCCTGAGGAGCGGGAGGGGCCTCCCGCGTCCAGGGGGACCCACGACGCCTCCGAGGGTCTGCTCTGGGCCGGGCCCCTTCGTGCCAGAGGCCAGCACCACCGTCCAGCAAAGGGCTCTGCCAGTGAGAAGCGACTCCAGGTCACACGTCAAGGTCATCCAAGGTCACACGGTGAAGCACCTGAGGTCACACTGCCGGGTGGTCCAGGGCGGGAAGAATCCAGCAGACACATTCTCGCTCCCCACCCTCGGCTGCCCCAACAAGCTGCCCTGAGGGTCCCCAGACAGACATCTTGTGAACGTCCCCCATCCCCGGCTTGGGTGAGCTCGGTCCCTCACTGTGCTTTCCAGGCCCTGGGCCCCAGCGGACATGGCCACTTGTTGAGCCCCGGCCCAGAAACGCTGGCCCTGTCACCTGGGCCACCCCCCTGTCTGGGCCCAAGACCTGGCTGGGATTCGGAGGGAGGGGCCGGGGTGGCAGGGAGGCGCTGTGGGGACGGGACACGTCCCAGGGCGGTGTAGACGGCCCAGTGCCCATGGCCCCTCTGGCCGCCATGTCAGCAGCTCTGGGTCCCCCGCGTCCCTCCAGCCTCCCACCGGCCCCGGCAGGCGCCCCCCGAGGCCTCAGGAGGGAGCTCACCCGTTCACATGGGCCCGACCCAGTAGACACGTGTCCCCCTCCGCCCGGGCACAGCCCTGGGAGGCGTGGATGGATCCCGGGGTGGGGTCTCCCCACTTCACTGCTTCATCCCAGCCCCTCTGCCCGCCCAGCCTCCACCCCGGAAACGGGTAACGGAGCCGGGCCTGGTGGACGAGACGCCTGAAGCCCTCGGGGGGCGGCTGGGGCAGGGGGCTCGCCCAGAGGGAACGTGGGACACGACGGGCACAGGGCACAGGCCGGGGACACGCCACCCGGAACTGAGGCCGGGGGTCCCACGGCCGCCACTCGCCCACCACACACTCACGTCACAGGGAAGCCACGCGCCAGAGCCCGGCCCGGCCGGCCTGACCCCTGTCCCACCCAAACTGTTAATTTAAATAAACATTCTTTTGAAAAGTTAAACTTTTAAGTCGCTGCCAAAAACGAACGTTCACAGCTTCGGGGCCAGCTGAATTCGTAGCACGCGGCTGGGTTAACACAGACCCTCCCGGCCGCGTGGTTTGTGCCTCTGTAACGGGCGCCACGGGCACAGGCGGGAGGGACCGACTGACGGTGACCATGTGTTGTCACCACCTGTCACCTCCCGCCCCTCAGTTCTGTGACGCGGTGACGGCAGTAGTGTTCTCGGTGACTCAGTTCCACGCGGCTCTGAGCACAGCCTGGTTCGCAGTCCGTGCCCAGCAGACACCAGCCATGTCACAGGTCAGAGGTCAGGGCCTGGAGTCCCCCTCCAAGGGACGGGGTGCGCAGGGGGCACGTGCAGCCCTGTGCTCCTGCGATGGGAGCTGCTCGCTCTCCCTCGGGGTCCGCGTGGCGGCCGCTTTCCATCTGCCGATGCTGCTCCGAGGCCCAGACGGAGACCCAGCAAGGGACGTGGTGGGCCAGCCCTGAGCAGTCACCGACTTCTTGGCGTACCCAGGGTTCCTCGAAGGAGAGGCCCCGGACACGCTGGGCAGAGCCATAGAAAAGCCCTCGGGCCACGTGGGCTCAGAACTATCGGCCCCAGACCACAGCCTCGGCCGGGCACGGACGCCATCCCAGGCGGGGCAGGTACCGCTGCGTTCACACCCACCCAAGCCGGGGGCTCCACTGGGGGGTCAGGAGAGAACGGGGGACGTAGTCGCTCGCGGTCACCCCAGGGGCAACCCCACGGGCAACAAGGGGTCTCGCTGGTCACTCGAGCCTCTGGCTTTGAGGACGGGATGGCAGGCCTGGGGGACACAGGCTGCCCGGGTCACTGGCTCACCCGCGAGGACAGTGCGGTCGACCCACTTGTGAGATAATCCGTCCTCGACCGCCAGGCTCGGCGGGTGGCCGGCCTCCATCTCCAGGAGGCCACGTGCACTGGCCGGATGGCGCCTTCGGGCCATTCCCGGAAGGTTCCGGAATGCCGAGGGCAGGCCACGTTCTGTGAGCCCTCGTAGCGGGCTGGCCCAGAAAGCCGTGACCTCCTAGGAGAGCCGGGGTGCAGACGTGGTCACGCGGCTAGAAAAACGTGGCCGCTAAACACTTCCCACTTGTACAGGTTTTGCCGGTGGGTTTTTTTTTCCTTTTTGGCTCAAAAATACACACTGCAGGCTCCCCAGTGGATGAAACCGACAATATTCGATAAAACCCAAACTTCGCCTTTATGAGATGGCACCGCGCACCCACACGGCATGCTGTGGCGCACACGCGGCGCGGGGCATCCTACCCAAGACAGCAAATGTGGGTTCCGGCCGAGCCCCGGCGGCCGCAGGGAGCGAGCTGGGCAGCCAGGCGGGAAAGCTGCTCGCACCGCGGGCTCCAGCCCCCGGGAGGCGACGCGGGGCCGGCGGGCGATTGGTTCACGCTCCGTTCTCTCCAAACGGTTTAAGCCCAAAAGGAAAAGCAATGGGGGTCGAGGAGGAAGGGAAGAGCCGGGAGCACGAGGACACGCCTCGGAGGAGGGTATACACCGCGTTTATTTAATACAGCTCGCTCGCTCGCGTCCCACTCGGGAGAGACCGTCCCACCGTCCTGACCGTCACAGCAGCCTGGTGTCACCGGCGTAAACGCCATCCAGGAGAGGATTAAAAAAAAAAAAAAAGAAAGAAAAAAAGAAAGCTAGGCAGAGAGTAAAAAGGAAAAGCTTAATAATCACTTTATGGTGTAAAAAAAAAAAACCCACTTAAGGCTCTGGGGAGGGTTTCGTGCAGACGTAACACCACCGCGAGGAGACGCGGATCCGAGACACTCCCGGCGCCCACGGGCCCGTCGGCGTCCGTCCGGGGTCGTCCCGAAAGCGGGCCCCGTGTCCTCGGCTTGAGCACCTGTGGCCGCCCTGGACAGACGTCCAGTCCCCGGGGCATCCCCCACTCCGGCGACCGTTCAGACGTTCTGGGAGTCAGTCCGCGTGCGCTCGCTCGCTCGCTCACTCTCTCGCTCTTTGTTTGGACGAGGGAGCTTCCCCACGTCCCGTCGCCGAGGGCGACGATCTCGCCTTGACGTCACAGGAAACACGCGTGGGCCGTCTCTTTGTTCTCCAGGGTGCGCACGGGGACGGGTTTCACGGAGGAGAACAAAGACCGCACGCCGGCCACAAGCACCGTACAGAGTTCAGGAATGTAACACGCCACGTACATCCGTGTCCCGGGGAAGGGCTGCTGGCTCGTCCTCACCTCACATCTGCAGGAGACGGAGAGACACACTGAGCGAGAGGCGGGGCTCGAGCACGCGGCGCCGCGCGGACGGCAACCCGATCCGGCCCAGCGCGCGCGCACACACAGCGTGGCAGGTCTCAGATTTGAAGTTTCCATGAATTTTCTCAAAATCAAACACGTCTCGTTACCTTTTCTGTAACACCCTGCCCAGAATTGGGACCAGGCTCCCGGACTAACCCCGTTCTCCCATTGTATAGATGGGGGAAACTGAGGCCCAGAAAGGTTCTTTTGCCTTTCTCCACACCTTCCTCTTTCTCCCAGCCTAGAGCTTGATGTGATTTCTGGAGCTCTGGCAGCCTTCTTGGGCCATGAGGCAACCCTGAGAATGGATGCCCTCCAGACACTTTGAGCAGGTGGGTCTACACTGAGCTCTGGGCCAGAAGCATCATCCCCATCCCACGTCTACCACTCGTTCCAAAACTCGTCCCACCAGCATGCCCGGAGCCCAAGCCCAGCAGGGCCTGGGGGAACCAGGACACCTGCCTCTCCCTTTGGGGTCTCTGTCATTGGCTGGCCCATGGGGCCAGAGCCCAGTGGTCTGAGGCCTGGATGCACAGCCGGGCACAAAGCTGCCCCCCGCCACACCCTCGGGCTAGCAGAAGCCAGGCCACACCATCATTTCGGGGTGGCTCCTGGGACCTACTGCGTGGACCTTTCCCCCCCAGAGGATGCTCGAGTGGACCTGCCCCTGGCCTGGCAGCTCTGCAGCCACGCACTGGACCCGACTCGTCCCTAAGAATTCTCACGGCTGTTTGTTTCAGACACACAGGCTCCCGCGGGCCCAGAGCCACGACCAGGCCCGCCAGAGCTAGACGGGCCAACACCAAGGGCCGGGAAGCCTTGAAACTGCCCCTCCAGGAGGAGACTGGCTGCCCAAATCCCGTTTTCCTCTGGGAAGCATGGTGCTTCTCTAAAAGACTTCCTTTCCCAGGCCCCTGGCAGCTGAGGGACGGCCACGGGCTCGAAGCAAGAGCCACCAGGTGGGGTTTCTCTAAGAGGGTTCTTTCACCCTTCTTCCCATCTGTTTCTTCCAGTGTGGAGTGTAGATGTGATTTCAGGAGCTTTAGCAGCCACATAGGGCCATGAGGCAACTCTGAGGATGGCCACCACTGGTCCTAGACGGAGGAGTGCCCCTGATGGCACCTTGAGACAGCCGTGCCTGCTCTGGTCTGCGGCTTTACGTGAACAGTGAACGTCTACCTTAGCTCAAGCCTTATTTCCAGGGTGTTCCTAGACCCCTGTGAGCCTCAGTTTCCTCATCTGTCCGATGGGCAGGGAACCCAGCTGGAAAATGGCAGAGCCACCCGCCTCCGCTCAGAAAACCCCAATCACTGCGTTCCCGTGAGGCCTCCGCCTCCCGATCATGGATAGAGCCCGAAGCCAGGGCGGGCGCTGGGGCAGCCGCGAGCCGGGGTCAGGCTCCCTGTGGCGGGAAGGGCGTCGGGATGGAGCAAGGAGCCCGCAGCCCAGCCCCACACCAAAGCCGCAGCGCGATCAAGGCCAATCAGGGCCGGGTCCGGCCGGGGGGGTGATTGTCCGTGCGATCGGTCAGCGCGCCTCCACCCGCGGGGCTGCGGCCCCCGCGGAGCGCCTACCTGGTCGGCCGCCTTAGGTGGGTTTTAACCTCTTTCTTTTCCGCTTTTTACCTGACTCCCTGCGCCTTCCTGTTAACAGAGGCAGGACGGCGACACCGCGCGGTCAGCACCGAGCCGCCGTCCTCCCGCGAGAGCCTCCATCGGCCCGGCTGAGCGCCGGCCCTGACTCGCTGGCAGGTCCCGGGCAGCGGGCAGCCCGCCGACCCGGTCGCAGCCTCAGACCCCACGGCCCCCGCCCGGCTCCCGGCCGCGCCCGCTTACCCGTCTCCTCCTCGCGGGGGCCGGCGGCCGTGCACGCGCACTCCAGGTGCTCCTCCAGCCGCACCTGCACCTCCTTCAACTTGGGCTTCTTCCTGACGTACTCCACCTTGGCCACCTGCCGAGACCAGGCCGTGAGCCCCGTGGCCGCCACGGGCGCCACGCGGGCCACCGCCGACCCCCGACCTCCCCACCACGGGAGACGCAGTGCCTGTGCCCGGTCCCTTTCCATTGAAAGTAAACCGCTAAGGCTGTGGCCCGTGGGAGGAGGTCTGAGCCCCAAGGTGGGCGGGGAGGGACGGTGATGCTGCCACGTTTGGGGGACAGCCAGGGCCGCGGGGCGTTTCCAACGTGAAATGATGCTACAGGAGAGACAAGGCCGCGGCCGAGACTCCGGGCTGCTGCCCGAGGCCCATGAGGAGGCTGCTGGGTCTGGACGGGGTCCCCGGTCTGTTATGGGCTCCAGATGAGGACCCCACGGGCTCCGGGCCACGCCGGCCCCACCAAAAACCTCTTCCCCAAAGCAGCCGGGCCGGGCGCACGGCCTCCTTGTGACCCCCAGGCCACAGCCCTCCTGGAACCGAGGAAGCCGCCTCAGAGACGAGGGCGGGGGCCCCGGGCCGTCCCAGGAGGGGCTGGGGGCCCAGAGCCGAGCGGTGGGTCCTTGCCAGTCGCGTGAAGGCACCGCCGCCCGTCCACGGGCCTCACCAGCCCGACCCCTCTGGGCACAGAACCCCAGCACAGGGACCCACGTCCACACCTGCTCCCGGGGAGGAGACGGCCCAGCCCCGAGGGCCCGAGGCACCGTCCAGACAGCCGAGAAACCAAACCCCCACAGACGCCAGGTCGGGGCCCCAGAGGCGGCTTGTTCTGTACCAGGAGCACAGCTCCACTCTTCCACATGCGCACACGGATGCACACGCCTGGCATCCGTGAACACGTAACACACGACCCAGGGAGCCCTGTCGAGCCTCGTGTGCCAGGCCGCAGACCCACGCGCCATCCCCCAGCTCCATCCGTTTGCACAGACGCAGTTCTCCAGTGGCCCCAGGGGGCCCCCAACCCGAACGCCTGCAGCCCAGGCTCTGGGCCCCGTGGGGAGCTCGTCCCAGGCCTCGCGGAGCCGGGCGCACAGCTGACACTCCGTCAATGCCAATGTTCGCCCCGGGGACATCCACTCCGCCCCTTCCTGATCACCCAGGGAAACTGAGGCAGAAGGGGAGCAGAGCCCGCCCAGGTCACACTGCAAGCACATAGCGGCACCGAGGCAACTGGGAGGGCCTGGAGCCCAGAAGCCGGAGGAGCCCCGGGCAGCAGGGTCAGCCCTGCACCCTGGCAACGGGCGGCCCAGCCCGCGGGTGAGCCGGCCCTGAGGCTTGTCCCGACCTGGCCACGGCTGCTCAGCCACATTAATGGTTAACCCGTAGTGCAAAGGGTGCTAGGCGAGCAGCGGCCGTGGGAGAGGCGTGCGGCCCGGGTGTGAACGCAGCGGGGCGGGCCTGGCAGGTTTCCTGGTCAAGAATCGGGAGAGAAAGAGAGGCCCCAGGCAGGAGCGGCCGCAGGTGGGGGTCTGTTCCCTGGGGGGATCCAGGGTTGCACTCACCTGTCCACCTGCCACGGGACCATGAGCCCCGGTCGGGGGGAGGCGTCTCCAGACCATGTGGATAGACAGACGCCCTGTCCTGTCTACAAAATGGGAGCCAGATCACACCCACCCAGGGGTCGCCGAGAGGAATCCACGAGGCCACGTCTATGGAAGCTTCTGGAAGGGGGGCCCAGGTGGCCTCGGGAGGGAGGGAGGCAGGCCTGGAGTCAGCACTTCCCTTCTGAACCCCCAGCTCCCAAGTCGAGAGAGGCCAGTGAGCAGGCCCCAAGGGCCACTGGGGGTCGTGGACGGACCCTCCCTCCCTCGAGGTCACAGGGTGGGCCGCACCTCAGCAGGCGTCCCAGAGAGCAGATGGCGCCCGGCCCTCGGGAGGTGGACAAGCCTCACCCAGCTTCCTCGGGGGACAGACACGGGGACCTGGGCTCAGCCGAGCCCCCCGATTCCCGGGCAGAGGGGAGCAGGCTGTTTGCCCAGACAGACGGCCGGCGGGGTGGCGGACAAATCAGAAACGCCGTCCCCCGCCCGCGGCCCCCATTGCAAAGTGCGAGGAGCACCGGCCGCTCGGGTCTGGGACCCACTTCTCTGCAGACGGCCCGTTTTTATCAAAGAAAAACAAACCGCGGGCGGTGAGCACACCTGCCGCGGGAATGCGAGGATTCCGACGCTCCGCCCCGCACGTCTGGCAGGAAACGGCCGCATTCCTCCCACAGGGACGCGCCGCGAACGTCAGACCCTGAAACGTGTGCTCAGTGCCAGCCGGGCCCACAGGACGAGACGCTCCCCCCGAGGGACCCGGCCGGGCGCCTCGGCCCCCCAGATCCACCCAAGAAAGGACCTGGCGAGGCCGTCACGCCCTCTGGATGAGGAGCTGGGAACTGAGGCCCTGCTGCCCACCAGTCCTGGCTGGACACAGGCCTGTGCTGCAGGGGAACCCACCCCTCCCAGAGTCCAGGCAGGCATCACCTGTTGACAGATGGGGAAACTGAGGCAGCACAGACAAGGCCGCCTCTTTGCTGGAAGGAGGCCTGGACTCGGAAATAGCAGAAACCCTGGGCTCGTCCCTCGACCAGGAGGGGGTGGCTCCTGAGTCCGGGACGTGGGGGCCCCCGAGTCCATACCCCATGTCCCCTCCCCAGCCCCCCACAGCCGCATAGAATGAAGCGGACGCCTGGTGAAGGGGACGACCTCAGCCCTTCCCCTCACCCAGCTAGAGGTCAATGTGGCACGGAGAATGGTGACCCCAGGCTCCGGGACCTGATGCCAAAGGGCCATGCCCCTGGGGCCGTGTCCAGCTTCCAAGGCCCGAGGTGTGGGCCTCCCTGACCCACGGGGGCTTCCTCAGGCAGACATGGGGTGGCCCCGGCCCCACGTCGAGACACAGACCACCAGAGCCACTGCCCTCGCCCTGGGCCCTGAGCCCTGAGCAGGACCCCCGGCAGCTGACGGGCTCTCCTGCTCAATCAGGCTGCAAAGCCCGGCCTGGCCCCAGGGGGACACACCCACACCCCCATCCGAAGCCTGCGGTCAAGCAAAGCAGAGCCTCTGCCGACCCCCTGGACGTGGCCGCAGAGCTGGTTCCCGGTCTCTGGGCACCTGGGGGACCGACCAACTTGTTCGTTTACTGACCAGCTCTGATGCGGCCCCAGGACGGTGGGGACCGTGGGGCTGCCAGGCCGCCCCCCAGAGGCTCCCAGTCCAGCTGCCGCCTGAGGGCAAGTCCCAGAGGACAGAGGACAGCCCCCCACCCGGGGCCGCTGACCCCCGGCACCCACCCCACAGGCCCGGGGTCTGGGATTCCTCAGGCCAGGCGTGGGGGGCCGGGCGGCCTCCACAATGGGCCTCCTGTTCCCGTCACCTCTTGTCCCCTCTCAACCAGAACCCCACAGCCTGGGGCCGGATGTTTTCCTGCCAACCCTCCGCAGGAGGCAGGGCCGGGGTCCCAGGCGGGCACCCAGTGAGCAACCAGCTGCCTGGGCTCCAGCTGCAGGACCAGGCCCCCACCCCCTGGGCTGACCGCAGCCCCGTCTGGGCCGAGAAGGGCCCTGGGCTGGTGCCCAAGGCAGAGATGGACCACGGCTCCCAGGAGGGGCCGCCCACCCTCCCTCCCGCTGGCCGTGCTGGAGCCTCTGGATGCAGCCCACCTGCTTCGGGGGGGACCATGGCGGGGGGTCACTGCCCACCCAGGACTGGACACTCCCCAGGCCTCATGCCACAGGGAGCAAGCGGGGTGGGGAACAGCGGGGGTCCCCAGGATGGAGCCTCACTCTGCTCCAGCATCCCCAAGCCGGAGACCCCATCTCAGACAGCACCCCACGCCCGTCGCATCTGGAGCACCCGCCACCCCCCCCACGCCCCAGAGAGAAAGACCGCAGGGTCCTGGGTGTTTGGGGCCCAGGACACACTACATACCAAGGGGGGACACCGAGACCCAAAGGGGCACAAGTTGTGGAGAGCCGGCGGGCAGGCAGGGCCGTTTGGGTGCCGAATGCACAGTTGGGCCTCAGTTTCCTTCTCTGACAAACCAGAGCAACAGCAGGAACACATGGTGTCTGGGCAGGGGGCCGAGAAGCCTCAGCCGGGAGCCAGCGCCCCAGGGGCCACCTGGGGCCGGGCAGGAAGCCGGCGGAATGCGCTCGCTCAGCACGCGGAGTGCGGCCTGGGACCAAGGCCCTGCGGGTGAGTCCAGGGCAGCTGTCCGGTCTCAAGTGCTTCCCGTGTGACCACAAGTGGCCCGGCCGGCCCCACAGCCCCACAGCGGGACGGCTTCCCTCCGGCTCCCCACTCCAGCCTGGCGGGCACAGGGATGCGGGACGATGCCGATGGTCAAGGAACAAACTCGAATGCGCCCCCAGAACCGACAGCCTCGTTCCAGGAGAATCGGACCCGCCGGCCATCAGAGGCCCAGCCGAGAAGGGGGCCCTGTGGCCCAAATCCATGCCCCCCCAGGGTCCAGCGGGACCAGAGCCCACCCAGAGGGCAGAGCCCCCAGAGGCCAGAAGATGCCCCGAAACAGGATGGCCAGCTGCCCCGGGGCCCTCGGGGTTCCACAGCCCCAGAGCGGGGTCACCACCCTGCAGACCCATGTCACAGACAAGGCGGGACGGGAGCGGCCCCCAGCCCTGGGAGAAGCTTCCGGACCCCACTCGGGTCTCAGGGCAGAGTGAGCACGGCTCCACGAACTGAGGGGACAGCGCACGGCCTCACAGAACCTTCCGGAGAACGGCTCCACCAACAGGCACATCCCAAAGGACGGGGGCGCCCTCCCCGATTCACGCAAGAGAAAGTGAGTGTCGGCCGGCAGAGGGGACCCACGCCCCAGCTCCGAGCCCCGGCCCCGCCTCCTCCCCGGCTGTCGCAGGGCTCACCTTGACGCTGCGGTGGTGCACGCGGGTCGGCTGGCACTTGATGCTGCTGGTGTTGCAGCAGCCCGTGCAGCGCTTGACCTCCACGCACGGCGGCCAGATCAGGAAGTTGGCGGACGTGGGGTCCACCTGGCTCCGAGGTATCTCGTAAATGACCGTGCGGGTCTTACAGACAGCGGGGATGGCCTCCTCTGCAGACGAGAGCTGCGGTCAACAAATGCGGAGCCCGCTCCCCGCCTCCCGCTGGCACCCGCGCCCCCTCCGTGACGCCCCCGGGGCTGCAGCTTCCTCCACAGGACGCTGGGAGCCGAGTCGGGGGAGGGCAGGGGCCCGAGTGGCTGTGGGTGCGGCTGAGGGCGGGTGGGCCAGGGACCCCCAAAGTCTCCTCCATCAAGGCCCAGGGACCCAGGACAGGACACAGACACGACACACAGACATTGGGACACAGTCTGGTGCACGACCTTCCTCCCCACGCCGGCCTCAGGCCCAGCTGGGCGTCTGCAATGGCCGCCTGGCGCTGTCCAGCCATGGGGACCGGCCAACGGGAGGCCCTGCCGCCCAGACACGAGCCTGGGATGCCCGGCCAGCAGGCGGAGAGCCACTCGCCAGAGCCGCTGCCCCAGCAACACCACGGGGCCGGAGCCCAGAGCCAGGAGGAGCCTCCAAGGGTGCGGGGGGCCCAGCACGGCCCCGACACGCATGCCCCAGCCCCTTGCACGACCCCGCGGCCAGCACGGGTGGGCCTTCCCTGCGCCGACGAGGGGAAGAGCCTGAGATGAGATCAAAAGACCAGACCGGCCTGCCCTCGCCCCTGTGCCTGGTCAGCCTGTGTGTCCCCTCCTGTGGGCTTGAGATGACGTCCCGGGGGCCCTGGGGCACGCAACTCCTCGGGACCCGGGACCACCTGGGCAAGGAGACACGCTGGTCCCCCGAGAACATCTCGCAAACAACGCAGGCTGGGTGCCAGGCGTCTGGTCGCCCCATGGGGGTGGCAGGCTTCGCTCACGGCCCAGCCCAAGGCCGCCAGGTGGGAGGGGCCCAGGGAACCTGGCCATGAGGACAGAGGGCGGAGCCAGGAGACCAGCCCTTAGAGAACGGGGTCTGAGAACGTGAAAGGCGTGGTCCTGAGAGCAAACCTCACCTGGGGGGCCCGCTCGCCCTAACTGGGAACCCTGTGCCCGCACGTCAGGCTAAAGGTAGGAGCTCTAAGCCAGCTTCTTGGAGGAGACCCAAGCTCAGTGGAGGAGCCACGCGCCCAAGGTCACACACACTCAGCAGCTTCAGGACCCCCGATGACAGGGGACTGGGTGGGCCACACCCCCCAACTGTCTCCCCAGGGCCAGAAAGCAAACGCAGAGACCCCCTAAGAGAAGAGCCTGAGGCCCAGAGACCCCACCGGCTCGTCCTTCCTCACGGGGGTCCCACGATGCTCGAGAGCGAACAAGAACCAAGACACCCCAACCCCGGGCCCTGGGGGAGCCCCAGGAGCGGGCAGGGCCGCAGGCAGCCCACCAGGCGCGGCTCAGGAGCCCCAGCGCTCCGCGTTAGGAACTGGGGACTGAACACGGCCACACTCCCCGCGAGGCCTCCTGGAGAGCAGGCCCCAACAAGACCGGGCACTTGAGGAATTTACGATGGCTCTCCGCTCCTGGAAACTCTTGGCCCCGGCCAGGCCTGCAGCGAGGAGCGGGCGGGCGGGGGCAGAAGGGGGTGGGGGGAGGCCCCCGGGGACGGCAGGCGGCCAGAGCTGAGGGTGCTGGGGACGGACGCTCACTGAGGCCACAGCGGGGAGCCCGCCCAGGCCCCAGAACTCACCGATGCTCCTTTTCCTCCGGATGGGCACAGGCCGCTTCTCGGCCGCATGCTTGGTGGCGTGGCCCCCGTGGGCTCTCAGGCTGGTGTCCAGGGCATCCTCGGGCCCTATGGGGAGGAAGAGGAGTTGGGCACCAGCCGGCCAGCGCCCACCCACATGGCAGCCAGCACACCCCACCTGTCTGCCCCACCTCCTTCCCCAAGATGATGACGGGGGACCCCCAGGAGACCTTCCACGCCCGCAACAGGGTGAGGAGAGGTCCCTGAAGTGAAGAGGATGGAAGATGCCCGAAAAGATGCCGCCGACCCCCACAAGCCCACACGGAGGTCTCCAGGCCGTGGCGCCCTCGCTGCAGCTCACGGCAAAGCCGCAGACTTGGGGGGGCCTCCCCTTCCTCTCCAAGGAAGAAGCCCTGAGACCACTCTCTGCGTCCACAAGACCCAGAACCGACAGGCCTGCTGCTCTGCGCCAGGCCCACCTCCCGGGCAGGGTGCCACCTCGGAGAGCAGGCTGGACAGCGGGCTGACGGAAAGAGGAGCAGAGCCCGCAGGGCAGCTTTCCCAGCGCACCTGTGTCCGCCTCCCTCCCTCCCTCTCGCTAAAGCCACACCCTTGATGGGGCAGCCCAACCTTTGAGGGACAGCCAGACCCCACTCGTTCCTGAAGTCAGTCCACTCCGAGGGCGAGAGGGGGAGACACCCCAGGAAACACAAGAAAGACACATTGCCTCCTGCCCAGTGTCCAGCAAGGGGCAGCCGCAGGACGGACAGGGGGCGGCCCGAGCCTGGCAAAAAAAGCTGGCAGGATGAACAGTGCCCGAGAGCCACGAGCATGGAGGGGGGGCCCTCAGCCAAGATCAGAACTGGACCCCAATCCCCCAGCCGGTTAGACTCCCCGGTGCACACACCTCCCCAGACAGGCTGGGAGAGGCCCGGGTCTCCCAGGCTCCTGGAAGGAAAAGAGGCTGCGTCTGGCCCAACTGGCTGGAAGGATGAAGTGGGTCACACCTGGCCCCCCAGCCTTGACCCCCAGACCAGCTGGGGGTCTCTTCCCACTTCTGGCCTCCACCTCTGCCTCCCCACAGATAACCAAGGCCAACGGGTCCAGGAAGGCGGGCCCCACGGCCAGGAGCTAAAGCAGCTGCACCACGTCCTGTCTTGCCATCTTTTCCCCAAGAAGCTCGACTGGTGTCCTGGCCACCAGCCCAGACCAGAGGCCCCTCCTCGGTGCCCAGCCACCTGGGCCTCGTCGACGGTCCACCAACCACCAAGACTGAAAAGCTGCACGTTTTAAAACGGAAACGGAAATCCGTGCGTCAGGCGCCAACGGCGAGAGACGCGCTCCCAGAATCCTGAAGCCTGAGCAGAACGCAACTTTTTGCCCAAAACGACTCGATGTTGCACGCCTTTTTTGAAGACCCAAAATCAGACCAGAACTGGACTACTCATGCCGTAAGAATTTCCCATCAGCTAACTGTTACAAGAGGCGGGTTTTTTTTTTCACGAAAAAGTGACTCTCATGAGTCACGTCCTGGTGGTGGCCACGGTGCCATCGCCAAACCAAGGAGCAGCTGGTCCTCCGCTCGCAAGAGGAAAGTTAACGACAGCGACGACGTTGGCTACCATTTTCCGACGCCTTCCCACGGCCAGGCGTTCACCGCTTCACTCGTGACAATCCTAACGTGTGTACAGGGGGCTGAGGACGCTGGGCCCGAGAGACAGGCAGACAAGCAAGGACAGACAGAACCGGGAGCCTGTGGCCAGGCTGACGGCCCTCCCGCCCGGCCTGGTAAATAGAGGCAACGACAGCCCTCCGGTTTATCAGCCGAGCTGGAACCTGAAACGGCGACTTGCTTTTGAGACACAAGATGGACAGAAAACGGCTCCTGGTCAGACAAGACCATCCCTCGCCGCTCGACCAAGATGGGTGGTCAGCGAACCAGGCGCGACCCCCACACTCATGGGGGAAGCAGGCGATGGACGGATGCTGGTTCAAAGGGAACCCCACGGGCGCGAGGCCCCGGAACTTCTCTGGGGACAGTCAATCGAGTGGTTTCCCTCTTGTCCTTCGTGCACGGATGTGTGAACACAACTCAGATGTGGAAAGTCCCCCACTCTTGGCGTTGGCGCCTCGTCAGGGCCCGAGGGGACATTTACGGATCAGTTACTGAGTGACCGCAGATGGGCGCCTGGCCAGTCCAGCCGAGAACAGAGCTCCCGAGGCCGCTCCACCAAGCGGTGTGTTGTCATCACACCTGACGAACAGGCCCCAAATTCCACGGCATTCAAGGACCACATGGCGGCCTCTGGACGCCAAAGCCATCCATGAAAAAATCAACTACCCGTCACTCAGTACACACTCCCGGAATGTGGCGGGCTCCGAGAAGTTTCCGGAGCTGGTCTAGGAGTCCTCCACCTCAGGGCGTCCAGCCAGACAGCCTGGAGCCTCAAGCTCAGTTTCCACATCTGTAATGTGGGGGTGCAGCCGGCCCCCTGGGAGGACCCAGGATCCCACAGCCAAACGCACAGCTCCACCCACTCGGGGGAGGAGCCAGTCTGCTCAAAAGCCTCTTTTGGGATTCCTGGGCATTAACCTGACACCCAGAACGGCCCCTTGGAAGGGCCACCCCGGAGTTTTTACAAAGAAGGATAGAGGAAACCGAGGAAGGAGTCAGCCCCCAGACGCACTGATCCCAGACCGGCCTCTGGATGGACCTAGCGGGCAACCCAAGGCCTAGAGGGGGAGCTGACGGCCCAGGTGTTTACAGCCTCCCCAGCAGCCCGACCAGCTTCACGTCTTCCCCTCAGCTGGGAACAGGAGTCGAGGCAGAGCCCCCCAGAACAAGTTCTAGAAGCAACCGGACCACTCCGGTGCTCAGGCCAGAGACGGTGGGCTCCTGGATCTCAGCTTCCACGCCTGTGACGGGAGCGCTGGACCAGGAGGAAGGACACCCAACCCATCTCGGGGTCTGTGTTGCAAAGGGTAGCCCCGGGGGCAGGGCCAGCGACCAAGGCCCCTCGTCTGCTCTCACTCCAAGTTTCCCAGGCACTGGGAGTCGCACCCTGAGAATCACCTTATAGACCCCACAACACCTGGCAGGTGGACAGCAGGCAGGGGACCCACAAGCCACTCACTGGAGCAGGAGGAAGATGAGCACCCCCAGTAACGGGGGAACCTGAGAATTGGCTGGGGCATCCTCGCTTCTTCAGTTTGGACCACCCCAAAGACGCTCAGGCCCAGAAGCCCCCAGGTCAGGAATGAGCTGCCCGCTGAAGGCGTTAATGGGTGGGGGGTGGGGGAGGCGGGGCTGCAGGGACCAGAATAAGAATGGGCCCAGCAGAAAAGTGAATGGCCCATTTCCCGGTGGTGGTGCATCCCACAGCCATCCCACAGAGAGGCCTGACCCTTCACAGGACTCGCTGGGGTAAAGCAAAAAAAAAAAAAAAGCCCTGGAACCTTTTGGGGGAGACAGTCTCCCCACTTCCCAAATCCATCCGGGACCATCAGAATGCAAACAGGCGTTTGCCTCACATTCTCCTCGGGGCAACACAGCAAGCAGCCAGATTGAAATCCCCCCCGGCCCAACTCTGATCTCCAAGTGAAATTCTACCCCCTTCCCGATAAAGATCAGCCCGAGGATTTCCTGGGTCAAGAAACTACAGAAACCGGCGGCCTGGCTAGAAAATGGTTTTGGCACAAAACGAAAACAGCCAGGCCTCGCTCTGCACCACCGTAATTAGGTACAAATTTCCAAATGACTCGACATGTGACTTTACTGAATTCCCCCTCCGCCCCCCTTCCCTTCTTCAGGGCCGTTCGAGGGAGAGGAAAATCTTCATTTCGCTTACAAACCTTCCACCCGACCCGTGCCTTTACTCGCTCGGTTGGACAAGTTCACTCGGGGCCTCTCTTCACCATCCACAGTAAGTTTTCCATGTGAGTATTTTCCTAGTTGAATCTCACACCGGAGTTCCCACCCATGCGATGCGGGCCAGAATCCTTGCCCTCTGAGGGGGCTCCCTAGGGCCCACCGTGCACCGCAGCCAACCGGCTGTCCCCACCACCTCTGTCCACCGGGGCCGGTCCAAGTCCACAGCGACGCTCAGGAGCTTCCGAACTCCGCTTGACAAATAAACTGTTTTGTCAAGTGAGTGGCTCCACTCCAGGGCCTAAGGATGAGCCCCAACAGCAGATGCGTCCAAGGCGCGCCTTTTTATTGCCTCGTGAAAAGGGAAGGCACGGACCTCCCGCGACCACAAAGGCCCGGCCCCTCGGCAGGAGCCTGGCGAGTGCGCGGCGGCCACAGGGGGGCCCGACCCGGGGGCACCGGCTCCTCCCACGCCTCCCCCCGCCGCGCGCGCCCAGGGCTCTGCGCCCGGGCCTGGGCCGGCTGGCGCGCTCCTCCGGCCGAGGGCAGGCGCGGGCCGCACACCTGGCAGGGCCGCCGGCGCCCTCTATGCGGCTGAACTTTCTGTGACACACCAGGCATTTTCCTTAAATGCAAAAACAATCCCCGGGCGAGCGACCGAGCGAGCGAACAGCCCTCGGCCGCCGCCACCGGGGGAGAAAGTGGCGACTGGAAGAGAAACTCCTGACTCATGCGCCTGGGCTTTTACGGCCCGAGGTTGGATTCTGACCTTTCGGTGCGCTCCTGCGCGGCGCCCGGCCCGGCCCGAGCGCGGGAGGCGGCCGGGGCGCCCTCTCCACCCGCCCGCCCGCGCCCTCCCCGCGCGCCGAGGAAAGGGACGCGATTTACCTACGGAGTCTATCTCCAGGAGTCGCTGGAGGTCCCGGATGCTGTGGATCTGACTGCGCGCCAGCCTCTCAATCAGCTCGCGGGGGATCTCGGCTTCCTGCAAGGAGAACCACACGGTCAGCGACCCCCCGAGAGCGCCTGGCCCCCCGACCAGGCCCGGCCAGACCCACGCGGGCCCCGCGCGCGCAAGACGCCCGCCCCCCTGCCCAGGCCCTGGAGCCGGAGGCCCGGGGGTGGGGCTGGGTGAGACCCCCCCCAAACCCTAGTCCCCATCCCTGTCTGCCCTTTGCAAAACGAAAGTCCTTCCCGCTCCTACAATTCCACACAAGAGCCCCGTGCCCCCCTCCCCCCGCGGGGTGTCGGTTACAGGAGGTCTGGGGGCGGCGGGGGCCCCGAGTTCCTGATTTAATGGTGAAAGCGACATGGAGAAAGATCAAGTTGAAATGCGTCACGGGTCGGCGACCAAAGTCACAGCGGCCCCAACACTTTAATCCAGCCCCCGGGGGCTTAAATTTCACACCCCGGAATCCCCGGCCGAGCCTATGGGGGAGAGGGTCTCTCCGGCTCACACACGCGCGCGCACACACTCGCTCACACCCACACTCACACTCGCCCCACCCCGGGCTCTGGCCCAGCCGCGGCCCTAGCGCCGACCGAGACGCCCCAAATGCAGCCGAAGCTGCCGGGGACGCGAGAGTTAAACATCCACCTCGCGCCGCTCCCCGGCCCTGCCCAGACCACCCCCACCGCACGCTCCCCCCGCTCAGCCCTGCTTTTTAAAGGGAGTCGGGGGTCGCCGGGGTGGGGGGGGGAGGTGGTCTCGAGCACCAGGTTCCCAGGACTGGGCTGCAGAAAGTCATTCATCACCGCACGGCTCCCGGGGACCCGGGATTGGAGGTTGGGGGGTGGGGGACGCCGGCGGTGGGAGGGCGCGGGCGCCTGGCCCGGCCCCGGCTCGCCTCGCGCAGCCACCTGTAAGCAGGCCCCGGGCGGGCGGGACTGCGCGGGCCCGGCCGCCCCGCCGGGCTTGGCGACCTGGAACCGGGGGCTGCGGCCCCGCGCTGCCCACCCCGCCTGCCGGGGGCTCCCGCCGCAGCCGCCCCTACCTGCCCCTCGGCCGTTCTCCTTCCCTCCCCGGGCTCCGCCGGCTCACACACCCCCTTCGGCGCTCCCCGAACCCCGATACTGCATCGCCCGCAGCGCCCCGGGTCCCCTCCCCGGAGACGAGCCCGCGCCCCCCGAAGTTTCTCCCCACTCGTCCACCCCGCCGCCCTCCGCGGCAAAGCGACGCAACACGCTGGAAACTCACCAGACACACTTAGGCATGGCAGAAAATAGAACCCAGTTGGGAAAATTCAAAAACCGACCACCCTGACAGAAATCGGAACGCGCTCCGCAGAGCCCCGGAGCCCGGGGCGCCCCGGCCAGCCGGCGGCCGCAGGGAGCGTGCGCCGGGGGAGGCGGAGAGGGGCCGGGGCGCGGGGGTGGCACCCACCTCGGCGAGGGCATGGGCGAGATATCCGCAGCCGAGAAGCAGGAGGCATGCCCAGGTCCTCATCGCGTCCCGAGGCGCTGGCGGCTCGGCGGGGAGGCGAGGCCGCGGGGCGGGCGCTCCAGCCGGACTCCTGTGGCGGCGAAATTCAGTACCATCCCTCAGGGAGCGCGGCCCGGAGGAGGGTGGCGCGGAGAGCAGGGAGCCGGCGGAGCGCGCCCGGCGCGAGCAGCGAGCGCGGAGAGGCAGGCAGCGCCAGCGAGGAGGAGGAGCAGGGAGTGCGCGCTCGCCGCGCCCGCCGCGCCGGGAGCCTCCTGGGCCGCCGGGTAGGGGGTGGGGACGGAAGGGGCGGAGGGCGGGGGCTGGGCCTCTTCCGTGGTGCGTTCCCGGTGCTGGCCGCCGCCGCGCTCGCTCCCCGGCGCTGGCTTTAGGAGCAACCCGGCCGGCAATTCCGCGAATCTGCGGGCATCAGCCCCGAGAGGGACCCCGGAGCGAGGCTGCAGCCGCCGCCGCCGCACCACCCATCACCTGTCTGGACGCCCGGCCGGGCCCCGGGCGCGGGCTCGCGCTCTCCCCGCGGGCTGCGGGCTGCGGACGGCCCCCCGCGCCCACCGCCGGCCCCGCGCTCGCCTCCGGCCTCCTCTCGCCGCCGCCGCCGCCCGGCCGGGCACGGCGCGGCCCAGCACGGCGCGGCCCGGCGGCCTGCGTGCGCCCCTCCGCGGCGCGCCCTCGGCTCCGGCGCCGCGCTCCGCCCTCCGCCGGCCCGAGCCGGGCAGCGCCCGCGGCCGCCCGGGGCCTGGCCGCGCGGGCCTGAGGGCGGGCGCAGGGCCGAGCCGGCGCCGCCGGGAGAGGAGGGGGAGGAGGAGGAGGAGGAGGCGCGGGCAGGCCCGGCTCGCCGGAGTTGTGCGGGCTCCGCAGGGCGCGCGTGTGGAGCCGGCCGGCCGCGGGGAGGGGGTTATAGCGCCGCCGCCGCCGCGCCCCTCCCCCGCCCCCTCCCCCTCGCCTCCCCCGGATTCCGGGCCCCGGACCCGCACCTCGGAAGCGCGCGGGGGCCGCAGTGGCCGGGCAGGGCCCGGCCTCCGCCGCCGCCGCCGCCGCAGTGAGCACACACACGCGCTCACGCGGGCAGGGAGATCCATCAACGCCGGCGCCCGGCTCCGAGCACGGCCGCCGGGGCTCCGCGCGCCCCTCCCTCGAGCCTGCCCGCCCCCCGTGCCAGCTGCAGTCCTGCGGCACCGGACGGGGAGGGGAGGAGGCCGCCGTCGCCGGCTCGCCTCTCTCGGGCCCCAGCGGTGGCGGAGGGCAGCGCCCGGAGCTCCCACGCCAAAAAGGGCAACGCGAGCCGCCCCCGCCCGGCGCTCGGGCCTCTCTCCACGGGTCGGCTCCGAGGCTCCTGCGTCCCCCTCTCCATAAAAGGAAGGGAGCGAGTCTCCGGTGGGAGGTGGGGCGGGTCTAGGGGCGCGTTTGGGGCACTCACCTGGCGGCCGCCACGCGCCCCCGCCCAGAATCCGGTGCCTGGGGCGTCTGGATGAAGCCTCCACCCACATTCCGAGAGGGGAGAGCGCCCAGGTCGGAGGAGGGGGCTGCAGCGAGCCTCGTCCCCACCCTGGGACCCCGCGTCCCCAAGTCCCCGCTCCCTCGTGGAAGGCCGGGCCGCGGCCTGAGCCGGGAACTCGCGAGGGTGGGAGGGAAGGACGGGAAGGGAGCCGCTCGTGAGGAACCCCCCGGTCTGAACCTCCCTCTCCGGGATCCGCTGGGCGCACAGAGCGCCACCTCCGGCCGAGGCGCGGCACGGAGCGCGGTGCGGGGGAGCGACGCGCGGGAGGCCGAGGCCTGCGCGGGGCCGGACGGCTCCCCCGCCACGAAAGGGCAGGTGCGCCCTGGTGGACGGATCCCGCCCGCCTAGGCCAGGTGGGATCGGACCCCGGCCGCGGAGGGTCCCTTGAGGACCAGGCATAGAGGGGTGGCTGGGCATGCCACCGCGAAGCTAGACGGCCCAGGCCCCTGGAGGCCAGGAGGTGCCCGGGTGGGTGGGCCCCGAGAATTCTGCCAGGCCTGGCCCTCAGCCCCCAGCGCCCCCGTCCCGTGGGCTAGGCCCGCGCCCCCTCCGGCCGCCCTCCGGCCACACAAAGGCAGTAAAGGCGCAGCCCGCGGGCGCTCTTTCATCCCCGCCTCGGCGGGCTTCGGCATTTCAAAGGCCCAGTCCCAAGGGCGCTTCGGGGGGCGCTCCCCTTCCCCCCAAATACCGGGAGAGGTGGGGGCGGGGCCTCTCCTGCAGTGTCTGGAGGGCCCGGGTCCACAGCGCCCTCCCTCCCGGAGCCTTCACACACCTGCGGCCGCCGGCGGCCCTGCCTCCCCCTGGGCCACAGCCCCACCCTGCGACCCTGATGCCAGCGCCCTCCCCGGCGGTCAGGATGGAAGTCCCAGGGAGAACCAGGGAAAACTTGGAAAGGTCTGGAGGGCACGTGAGAGCCAGTCGTGTCTGTCCAGGTGGAACCTCCTGTGGCTTCCGAGAGGGAGACCGCTGGGCAATTTCTGGAAGGATGCCAGAAGTGCAGCGTGGGGACTGGGCCTGGACGCGGTCTGATGGTTATCCCCAAAGCTGACCATGTCACGCCCACTGAGCCTCCGACTCCTGGCGGGCAGAGAAGACCCCAGAACACGTCTTTGGGGTTAAAGGACAAGGTTTGATAACGGGTGTGGGAATGAAGGAGGAAAGGTTGGTTGAATTGAGGACGGGGGCGCGGGTCCCTCCCAGCTCCAACCTCTGCACAGAGGGTCGCTGGTTCCCCCCGGGGAGGGGGGGGCTCCGCAACACCCCTGAGCAGCCCGTCCTGGCCTGGCACTTCAGGGGCGCCCAGTTCGAGTTTGGGGCCAGGAGGGGAGGTCTGGGGACGCCTTGGGGCGTCGTCCCCGGGAGTCTCCGGCCAGAGCGAGGGCGGGGAGCACGGGGAGGCCCGGAGAGCTGCGGGGGGCAGCGCAGGCCTCGCTCTAATCGCCGGACGCTATTAAAAATAAAACCGCAGCTGGTCGTCATAGCGACCGCGACAACAGCGGCCGCGAGGGTGGCAGGACTTCTGCAGCCGCGCGACAGCCGCCTTTTTGGGGGACACTCGGGGCACGACGCGCGTGCGAGCACCAGGGCCCGCCCTGGGTGGGACGGGGACGCCCCTAACCCCACGCGCCCCACCCTCCCCCGGATCCTCGTAAGAAACTGGTCCCTAGAAAGTCTGTTTCCAAGAGCTGGAAATGGAGACCGGAGGACCGACTTGACCAAGGGGTCACCAATTTGGGTAAGAACTCGCGCCCGAGGCCTCCCTCCCCCGCACCCCGCCCTTTCACGCTCCGGCCGCCCTCCTAATTTAGGCCCCTGGAGGTGGGTTTCGGATGCTCGGCTCCGAGAGGCCGGGCGCGCGGGGGCGACCGCACCTGCCAGCCCCCCGTCGTGATCCCCTCCGGACCAGGCGTGGTCACGTGCTTCCTCCTGCCCGGGAATCGAGTTTCACTTCCAGCCGCTATTAGGCGGTTCACACGGTTCGCTGCAAACATTGATAATGAGGCTAAATATACACTCCAGTCGGGAGGCGTGGGCGGCCGTGCCCGAGCGCGCGGGCGCGGCGTTCCGGGCTCTGCCGGGCATCCCCGCCCAGGCCGGGAGATCGAGGCGCGGTCCCCCCACCGACGCCCGGCTGTGTGCGGGAGGGAGAGACCCGCCCCCCGCCCCCCGACTCCGGCCGCGGGCTGCGGGGGTGCGCGTCCCCGGGGGGCTGCGGGCGCCCCGAGACGGGCCAGAGGGCCCCGCGGAGGAAGGGGGCGCTGCGGGGTCTCCAGGTGGGGAGGCGCTGATGGGGGGTGAAGGTGCACCTGGCCGCCCGGGATGTCCGGCCGCCCCCGGAGCCGGAGCCGGGGCTTCTGGGCTATCTCGGGAGTCCCGGGCGCGCCCCGACGTGCCCGCAGGCCCGTAATTAAGGTGAGTGAGGCGCTCCAAATAGGCGGAGAGAGGGGCCCCCGTGCAGCTGGTTCCCTCCGGCCCACTGCCTGTGACCCTGCCAGGGAGGAGCCGGGAGGGCCTGGGCGGTTCCTCAGAGCTGGGTCGCGGGCTGGAGGGGGACGCTGCCTTTACGAAGGACCTGTCACCAAGCCGGGCGCTGTGCGTGGTGGGCAGCCAGCATGTCACCCTAAACTGCACCTCACCCCACTCCTGCTCTGTCTCTTGCTGCTCTGCGCCTGCCTGCGGCCTGGCCCCAGTCGGTGCTCCATCGCTGCCGTCGTTGTTGTTTCCCGGGGTCAGGGTCATGACTAACATCCACCGAGCCCCTCCGTCCCTGAGCGGCTTCGTTTCCCGCAGCAGACCCCAGGGAGCACAGACCTGTCCCACCTCCCGTGTCACAGAGGGAGCGTTTGAACGCCAAGAAGTCAGGCCACAGGCCCCCGTCCCAGAGCTGGGGAGTGGCGGAGTACCGGGAGGCCGGCTCCCCGACGGCACGGGCCCCTCTGTGCCAGCCTATTAAATACACGCGACACAGGACGCATTTATCCCACGGTCTGCAGAAGGATGTGTGGCCACCGGCCATAAAGGATGTGGAGCCCAGGCCCACCTGATCCCCACTGCCAGGGGGGACGGGAGGGGCACACCCGAGTTTTGGCTGCCCTCTGCCCCTTGACCTTGGCCTTCTTGGTGTGGGTCGTCCCCAATCTGCCCTGGAGAATGGGGGCCAATAACCCCCACGCAGGGCCATCTCCCCCGTCCACGAGGAATCCACCAGGAAGAGAAGCAGCCATGCACCTGTGCATACATGTACACACACACCTGCAGGGCCGAGGGGGCCCCAGGCCAAGGGCCCGGCTGCGCGGCTGCCTGCTCCCAGGTCACACAGGTGGAGGCCAGTTGGGCATCCACACCAAGCTCTCTGCCCCATGCCGGGGTGGAACCAGAACAATTTGTAATGACGTAACACCACCGTCCCCTTTATCTCTGGGCAAGGCTTTCTGGGTTCAGGGCCCTTAATCCCGGAGCAGCTCAGCCGAGTGGGCACGGCTCCTTGAAGATCAAAAGTGCCCGTACAGGTGTTAATTAAGCCATGCCCCTGGCCCGCCTCAGGCCCCGGAGGCTGGAGGCTCGGCTGGGAATCAGGCCTTTCCAGTTCAGGCTCCCCAGAAAGGAAGATAAGCCCGCGAGCAGAGCAGGCCGAGAAGGTGTTCTCAGTGTTGTCTTAACTCCCCATTAAATATTTGTATTTCCTTTTTTAAGTACACAAACAGAAATGCAGTTCCAATCGCGTCGAGCCCGCGATCCTTTGTGACTGTTTTGTGGGTGAAGGCCGACGTTAAGGGACGCTTGGTGGTGGCTTCAGGAAATGAAGGCTGTTGCTGGGCTGTGCAAACGGGAGCCACCGGCCCCGAGTGGCCGCTGGGCACGTGGAATGTGGCTGGTCTGAATCGTCGTGCTGTGCTGTGCGTGCAAGCTCACAGCCTTCGAGGACCCCGTAGGGAACAAAGGGTGTCAAATTTCTCATTGGTAACTTTTTTATTAATTATGTGTTGAAAAGATAGCATTTTTTAGAATGGAGTTAAATAAACTGTATGATTGCAATTCATCTCATCTGTTTGTCTTTCCTTTGTTAACGTGGCTACTAGAAAATTTAAAATGCCTTGCATGGCTCCAGTGATGTTTCTCCTAGAAAATGCTAGTCAAGACACCCGGAGTTCGTGTCTACACCGTGGAGCCAACTGGGTGAGGGGGCTGCCTCCTGCCCAGAAGACAGCAGAGCCCTGAACCCCCAGAGATCCTGGTGACCAGCAGAGCCGGGGGTCAGTTTCACCCTGACCCCCCCTCCTAGCTCATGAGCTGTGTGACCTTGAGCAAACTTTGGCGTCTTGCAGTCTCAGCTTCCTCCTCTGGGTAACAGCCAGCTCAGGGGGCTGCTTTTAAGAAATATTCACTCGGCAAGTATTTATGTGCCGGGCACCATGCAAAGCATTGGGGGTGCAGCCCTCTTGAGCCCACGATCTCTTTGGGGGAAGCCATAAAGAAGTGATAAATACACCATGTCAGGCAGGGTATTTTGGGGATGGGCAGGAAGACCTATCTGAGGAGCCGGTCACGAGAAGGTCCAGGTCAAGCATTCTAGGCAAAAACAACAACAGCAGGTGCAAAGGCCCTGAGGCAGGAACTGGCTTGGCTTGTTCAAGGAACAGGAGTAGGGGTTGGGTAGGAGGAGATGAGCTGGGAGGGGAGGGCAGTGGGGCAGAGCAGGAAGGCCTCCAGACCCAAGTAAGAAATTCGGTTTTTATTCTTGGGGGACGGGGCCATTGAAGGAAGGGCTTTGGGGGAACAAAATGTAGGAGCATAAACAGGAAGTTTGACGAGCGCCCCCAGCCTTCCAGCCTCCCAGGCCAAGCAGCAGGTCCCCCTTCCCTCCCTGGCCCCCCAGGGTCTTCGGGGTTCATGGGGGAGTCCCTGTGTCCTGGACGTGATTCCAAGGATGGGGCAGATGCTGGCCTGAGTCGTCCGGCTGGCCACCTGTTTGAACCCAGAGCCAATCCCGCACCTCCTTCCGGGGTACCGCCCGCAGGCCCTGTCCCTCTGGGTCCGTTACGTGGGGGCGGGGGTGCCTGCAGCCCCCCTTAGCAGTCGGCTTCTGACGGGACTCACCCCCCGGGCAGAGGTCAGAGGGTGGGGCTGGCTGGGGACACGTCCGCTGGCCTTCCACGCCTCCTGGAGGGAAGACGGGATCAGACATGGGCCCTCCCGATGGAAAAGGCTTCCTGGTCTGGGAGGCAGCAGCGCCCTGGATGGGAGGCGTGCGAGGAGAGCACAGGAAACACATTTCAGCAGGATTAAGAAACTAAGTTGTTAAGAAACGTTTCGGGGCAAACGCGCCGTGTGCGTCTCGCTGTGATGCGAGGGGACACGCCGTCACCTGCAGGGCTCTTGCCAAAAGTGGTGAGTCTCGATCCGATCTTGGGGAAGCAGTTCCAGAGACAGTCCACACGGCACCTGCCTGGATCCTTCAGGACCGTCGCTGTCAGTGTCGTGGGGGGAACGCGGGAGGGAAGCTGTTCTAGACCAAGAGAGACTGGGAAGACGGGACAGCACAACGCAATGCCCCACCTCTGACCAGCGCCTGTGTCCCGACCAGTTAACAGCTCGAAGGACACAAGTGGGACCGCGGGAGAAATATCAGGTCCTTGCATCGCTGGTAAATCCCTGCGGGTGCTCATGGTGTGATGCTGACACAGAAGGACTTCCTTGTTCTTGGGAGATGCTGCGCTCCTGAGGCAAAGGGTCACGAGGTGGTTGGGGTAGGGGGAAGTATAAATGATGGAGGATAGATTGATAGATAATAGATACATACATACGTAGATGGAAGATAGAGGATGATGGGTGGATGGATGGATGGATGGATGGGTGGATGGATGGATGATGGATGGATGGATGGATGGATGGATGATGGATGGATGGATGGATGGATGGATGGATGGATGGATGGATAGATGGATGGATGGATGGATGGATGGATGGGTGGATGGATGGATGGATGGATGGATAGATGGATGGATGATGGATGGATGGATGATGGATGGATGGATGATGGGTGGATGGATGGATACACAGATGACGGACGGAGGATGACAGAGCACAGACAGACAATGTGGGTGACAGGTGAACTGAGGTGAAGAGGAGACAGCTGTTCATTGTACTATTCTTACGACTTTTCTGTGAGATTGAAATTTTTCCAAATAAAACTTATGAAAAGATGCTAATTCCTATTTTAGTTTTCCTGTAGTTTACCAAACTTCTGGAAGACAGAGAACAAGTCACAAATAAAAAACCAGGAGGAGTGTTATATTTCACATTTTTAAGTTAAAAAAAGACCGTGGGGTTTGACAGTATGGAAATTTAAAACATACAGTAAAAATTTAAAAGCCTGAACGGACGGAATTCTCCAGTTAAGTGTGATAACTGTATTCCCTGTGCACTTTTTACCTGCACAGAATAAGTATATTCACCCAATTTTAACAGCACATTTACCTACCGAGGTTCTTGTTCCTGTTCTTTTGTCAGAAAACCAGAAACAACACACAACAGAAGAGTCGCAGCCCAGGACCAGCAATGGAGGACAGGTCACTTCACCGCCCATCAACAACGCAGACCCAAATCGAAGCCCCCGTCTTGGGGGAGGTGACGCTGGGCTGAGGAGGGGCCGTGGGTCGCGCTGCTGTTCCGGGGGTGCTGTGGGCACAGTCAGAACTGGGGCCCTTTGGCCTCAGGCGCCGTAGAAGCAGCCGTGGGCCCCGAGCCTGGAATCCCGGGTCTGGGCGCCCGGCGTAAGAAACGACCCAGACGCAGGACGGCCACGTCCTCACGGCGCCCAGAGCCGCGGGATCTGAGGTTGCAGAAGCTGGAAGGGACCTAAAGCCCCAGGAGGTGATCACGTTTCCGCGGCCCCTCTCCTGCCGCTGGACGCCGTCCGCTCGAGGGATGGCTGGGAGGGCCGCTGCCGTCCTGTGGGAGCTCTGGGTGCGTCCTGACACTCGCCTGCTGTTCCTACGCCGTGCTTTGGGCTCCCTGGTGGTCTGAGCGTGAGCAGAAATGGCACTGCCCTTGGCGGGTCAGAGCCCGGGGCTGCTCGCCCGGCCTCTTTGCACCCATGTCCAGGCGGTCTGCGACGTGCCAATATTGCTCATCTAAGAAATTGTCGCTTCTATTTCAAAAGAGGCATTTAGGCATCAGAAGCGGGGGCTGGGGCTGGGGGGTGCAGGTCCCTCCTCAGGTGAGGCCTGGGCAGAGGTGAGGCCTGGGCGGAGGTGAGGCCTGGGCAGAGGTGAGGCCTGCGGGGAGGTGAGGCCTGGCTGGAGGTGACGCCTGGGAGGAGGTGAGGCCTGGCTAGAGGTGAGGCCTGCATGGAGGTGAGGCCTGCATGGAAGTGAGGCCTGGCTGGAGGTGAGGCTGGCATGAAGCTCCTCGTCCACACTGGCCCACTCCCGGACAGCCATCCCAGGCCAGCTGAGCCTGGCTTCAGACTTGGCCTCTCGCTGACTCTGTGACCTCAGGCAACTCCCATTGTGGCTGGGCTCCAAGCCTCAGTTTCCCCATCTGGGAAAACAGGGACGATGATCCTTCTGCTCCAGGGTTGTCGCAGGAAGAGAATACAGAAGTGACATAAAAAGTGCCGAGCATGGGGGCCTCACAGCTGTCGCTCTCCGACCCCGGTGGCCCTGCCCTCAGCCGCCCTGGGTGCCTGGAGGGGGCGGGCGCTGACGCCCAGGCGGCAGAGGGACAGCACGGCTCGCAGCCTGGAGGGCTGGCATCTGGGGCAGAGACGGAGCTGGTCCGGGCTGGTGGGTGTGACTTGGTGTCTCTTCCCGCAGGCAGGTGTCCTCCGGGCTGAGAGTGGGCTGGGCCTCCCACCTCTGCCCTCCTGGGCCCAGTGAGGTCTGGGGCAAACGACCTTCTCATGGGAAAGGCTTCTGCACACGGGCCTGGCTGTGCGGGGAGCCAGCAGCTTCCGGGGATGGAGCGCAGCTTCCCTGAGAGCAGGAGGCCGGGGGCCGGGGAGGGGGAGGGAGGGCCGCGGAGGGCTTCCAGACCCCGACATGCACAGAAGCTGTAAACCAAGCAGGACTCCCCAGCCTCCACTGCCCAGGTAGAGCTGTCCCCCAAAATGCCCAATTTCCAATTCTATAGACATAGGGACTCTTGGTTGTTGTGACAAGTCAAAGAGGCCTGAGGAAACAGGAGTAGGCCTTGGTCCACGTGACTGCCAGGCTCAGAAGTGCGCAGCTTCAGGTGTGGCTGGATCAAGGCGCTCAGCCCACATCTTCAGAACAAGCCCTGGGCCTTCATCTCCCGCTCTCTTCACACCATGAGATGGCAGCCAGCAGCCCCCGCTGGACGCCCTCCCGGGCCGGAACTTGTCAGAGCTTCAAGGCTGCATCTCACTGGTCCAGTCGGGACGCTGCCTGTGGCCAGGGGTGGGGTGGGGGGCGCAGTGCTCTGCTCGGCCAGGCTGGACCCAATGCCCCAGACTCCTGGGGTCGCCCTCAGCCCTCCAGGTAGATGTGACCCACCCCCGTCCCCTCCCTGGACAGCCCCCTGCCTGCTCTGCTGGCTGGGCACCCTCAGACGCCAGCCCATGGAGCACCCTGGGAGGGGGCGCTGGGATGCGGGCTCGCGCCTCTGCTCCGAGCGGCCCCGACAATGGCCTCCTCCTCCAGGGAGCTCGCCGTCTGGCATCTCGACTCGGGGCTCGGGTCCAGCGGCGGGCGGCCGCCCCCGTCTGTGCTGCTGGAGGAGCCGTGCTCATCAGCGGCTGTTTTTCTTGCCAGGAAAGAGCAAAGTACCGTCAGATAATCTTGTCCTTGTCCCGCTGTGACCGCAGGACACCTGCTGGGAGGGGAGGCCCCGTGGCCTCTCCTTGGGCGGGCGCTTCCCTCTGGTGGGACGGCCCGAGCTGAGCGTCACGCAGGTCCCTCTGCTTCCCGAGCTCCTGCTACGGCCATCCGTCTGTCCATCCACAGGGGCGTCAGAAGGGCAGTTCCACGGCCAGCAGGAAGGAGCCAGTCCTGGGTTTGCCGATGGCTCCACCACCTG